GGGGGTGGAGGGAGGGCAGAGGGAGGAAGCTCCTTAGCTGAGAATAAGCCCATCAGCTAATTACTTTAGCATGGTCTGGTCCCTTTGCTAAGAATAATAAAGCATCTCAAGGCCTGTAATCCTAACACTCTGGGAGGCTGAGGTGGGCAGATCACTCAAGGTCAGGAGTTCAAGACCAGCCTGAGCAAGAGCAAGACCACATCTCTACTAAAAATAGAAACAAATTAATTGGACAACTAAAAATACATAGAAAAAATTAGCCGGGCATGGTGGCGCATGCCTATAGTCCCAGCTACTCGGGAGGCTGAGGCAGGAGGATTGCTTGAGCCCAGGAGTTTGAGGTTGCTGTGAGCTAGGCTGACGCCATGGCACTCTAGCCCAGGCAACAAAGTGAGACTCTGTCTCAAAAAAAATTTTTTTAAATAAAAAAATAAAGCAACTCGAAAATACACAGCTTCTGAAGGCATGAAGGCTCCTTGGGAGGCCAGCCACATATTTGGAGCTTTTTGTCTGCATAGAGCTATATCCACATATACATTTCTACTCTAGCTGAATACCTGAGGAGGCAGTTTAGGAGGGGGAAAAAACAAGAGACCTAAGCCCAAGGACATGGCATATCCTGTTAGAGAGTGAATGTTTGGAGGCAGCCCAGAGTTCCTGGACAACGGATGGGCAGGAGGAGACAGGCAGCTACAGGCCTGCCTCTCGTGCTGCTGTGGAGCTCAGGCAGGGAGCTGGGCGGAGGAGACTGAGCCAGTGATTTATCAGGCACTGTGGAGTCAATAAGGCCTCAAGTGATCGAGGAGATCAAGGTGCAATAAAGAAAAAGAAAGAGCTCCCCCCAGAGACAGTCAGATCCAATTTGTGAAAGATCATTTTTGCCACAATCTTTTTGTCAGTTAGCACCTATTAACACCAGGCATAAGGCAGAGGCCAGAGGGAATAGGAAAAAAAAAGGAAGATGGTTTGTTTATGAAGCTATGAAGCGGAGAAAGGCCCAGAACATGAGTTGTTGCTGCTCACAGTCATTAGCGACATTAGGTGCCCCCCCACCCTCCAGAAAGTGCTTTGAACTGTGGAGCAGCATCTGTGTTAGATGGAGTAGTTGCTACCCCTAGTGACTTTCTTTTTCCTTCCTAGCACCATTTCAAGACTATAAATGCTTTGCTTATTTATTCTATATTATCTGACTCCCCACGCTCACCCCCAGTACAACTCGCAGCGGCTTCAGAGCAAACGCCACGCCTGCCTCGTCCCCTCCTGGATCCCTGGCACTAGAATGGTGCCTGGCACCTCGACGGCACTCCGTGAACACTTGATGAATGGATCTTAAGAGTAGTTACAGGAACTAATGAGGAAATTTTCCAGGCCTAAGGATTGCTTTGAACACACAGACTTGTTTTGTAAATCTGAACGGGTAACTGCGGTAGGCATGTGGCTGAGGATGCCTGCTTCATGAAATGGGGTCTTTTGGAGAAGGAAAGCTTTAGAAAAATGCCAAAGAATGATGCACAAACGAATTGCTGTGAAATGCTGCTAGGTCACCTTGAGGGTACAAAGGAAGAACAGAAAAAGCAAGTGGATACTGAGCTTTGGCCCAGAGTATAAGAGACAAACTAGGAAGAGACAGTATATCAAAGGCCCAGGAAGAGAACAGGAAGAAAACTATTTTCTTTGGGCAGATTCTGGGCAGGTGAGAGGCTGCCCGAGTGTTAGTATGAGATAGCTCTGCTGACAGAAGCTTTCATCAAAGGCAAACTTGCCTTGTAAACTTATACTTTAGACACCTTTAGATGGAAAAACCTTTGCCTTGGCCTTTGAAGGACTGTTGAGGACTCAGGATTTGAAGACCACTGATAAACTTCAGCAATTGTCTGAACACTGAAAACTGAAGTTAATCTGCTGCCTGGTCTTATTTTGGAAATAGTTACAACACAGCCATGTTCATTGAACTGCAAAAACAAAAGCTGCCTGTACTGCTTATGGATGTGATCATCTGCTCAGTGGTGCTGTGTTGGTCAGGTGTATGTGGCTGTCACTCCCTTATGACACAGGTTCTACAGCTGCTGGAGCCCTGTGGAAGCTAGCTTTGCCCAGCCCCATCTCAGCTGTCCCACGAGCTCCCAGATTGGGGTGTGCTTTCCTTAGCTCTGTCTGAATCTCAATTCTCATCTGTAACTGGAGACCACAATATCCACATTGTAGGGTTATTGTGAGGATTAAGCAAGACAATATAATGAAGTGTTTAGTGTACTGTGTTGTACCTAGAACACACACAATTGTTGCTATTACAGGCCTTAAGAAGATAGACGAAGCACAGCCAACTGATTTTAAATTCTTATCTTCCATAGCTGGAACATTCATCCACTGCTGGTTAGAGTATAAAGTGGTATAACCACTTTGGAAAACTATTTGTCAATATCTAAAGTCAAATATATCCCGATCCTATGACCCAGCAACTTAACTCCTAGGTACATGCCCAAATGTTAGCAGCTATATTGTTCACCATAGTCCCCAACTGGAAACAGCCCAAATATCCATCCAGTAAAATGGTTAAATTGTGGTGAATTCATATAATGAAATTTACGTAACAATGAAAATGAGAAAATTATCCCAACTCACAACAACATGGATGATTTTCACAAGGATAATGCTGAGCAAAGGAAGCCACACACAAAAACACACACACTGTATTATTCCATTTATAAAGGTCTCAAAAATAAACCCAACTGATCTACAATGCCAGCAGTCAGAAGCAAGGTTGCATTGTAGAGGTTGTATCATGGCTGGGAGGAGTGCACAGGGCATTTCTGAGTGGGTGATAATGTTCGACATTTTTACCTGCACGATGGTTCCATGGGTGTGTCAGCTTATTAAAATTCACTGAACTTATGACTTCTGCCTTTTTCTGTATGCATGTTATTTGTGGTAGACTGCACTATTGCTCCTCATTCTTTGCTCTCTCTCCACTTTGGATGGAGTGTGCCTCTCTGTTGAATGTTGGGCTTGTCCTTCGACTTGCTTTGACCAATAGGACATTAGCAGGTATGGTGTGAGCAGAGACATGAACAGTGTTCAAGCAGTCTGGCTCTGCCCTCTCTAGTTTCTGCCGTAGTCGTGAGAAGAACATACCTCTGAGAGCTCTGCTCTCTTGGCCTGATTTCCAGAATAATGCACATGAAATAGACTGAGCCTGGAGCCCAAGGCAGGCCTGGCCTATTTGAGTTGCAGCTGACTGTGAGAGGGGAAAACAGTTCTTTTAAGCCACAGAATGTTGATGTGCTTAATTATGCAGCACTGTTGAGGGAATAGTTGACTAATACATAATTCTTCTAAAACAAGTACTTTAAGATCTCATGCTCTACCTTTCTGACAGCAACCTTTTTCAATTTAAAGTTACTGACAATTATCTCCAGCACTTATGTGGCCTTATTCATGTCACACAATCAAATGAGCCTCAGTTTCCTTGTGTATAAAATGGGGGTAGTGCTTACTTCACAATCCTCTTGGAAGGACTTAATGAGCCAGTAAACCTAAAAGCACTTGCTGAGCTGCAAAACACAATTTTAAAGTGATGAACGATGGTGGCAGGAAGTGAGGTGGGGAACAGGTGCGTGGATCACGCCATCCACCAGGGAAGCTGCCTCCTCCCCACCGAGGCCCATCTTGGCTCAAAAGGTGGGGCACACGTGTGGGCAGGAGACTAGAGGACAAATGTCAGGGCCTGCGCCAGAGCAGTCACCAAGCTCTGCGCACAGTTCTGTGAGGCCCAGATGGCCTTGGGAGATGGCAACTAGTAGACATTACAGGACCCACAAGGCAGGAAAGACACCACTACGCGCCCATCTACCCCCCCCCCCTTACCTTCAGGGCTTCAGGGCCACTGCTAGTGTCTCATTTAAGTGGTTGTGGCGCCATCTGCCTAACTCCCCTCTTGTATCCTGAGATTCTGAGAGATTAAGTGATTTCTGTAAGGTCCTTAGCTGTGAGCTTTAGAGCTGAATTTGCAACAGGTTTTCTGGCCAAAGCTTAGAAAGGCAACTCATTGACGTGAGCAAGAATTCCATCATTGGATAATGAGTTGTACCCTCAGAAAACACATGGCACTGGCCTGAAGGGACAGACAGGACCAGTAAGTTTTGACGGAGGAGACAGGAGAAAACGGGTTTAGAGCGCAGGGTAAGCAGTCGACTTTGAAGGGATGGGGCACAGGGAAGGTGAGGAGGTTGGAGGGAGGCTCTGAGCAGGAGAAAGAGACTGCAGATCCCCGAGCCCGGCCTCCCGAGAGCATTCGTTCCAGGCTGCGCCCTCCTGTACCCATGGGAGAAGCCAAGGGCAGCAGGATGAACACTCCCCAACAATAGCTCTAGGAGGAAAGAAAGGATCAGAAAGGTTGCCAGCCAGGTACAAGAACACCACTGCCCTGCCTCCCCTCCAACAAACAGTCTAGGATGATGCTGTCACCACATTCTGCTATAAGAATGCTATAACCCTTGGGGACCCTTCCAGTGCCCACCTGGTTGGAGGGTCTGAGACAAAATGCCAGGCTTGTCTCCTACCATGCTGGTCTCTCCCCTTCTTCTGACTACTCCCCACTTGGCCAACCCCTGCCAGTGGCCGGCTGACTGGCCTAAGTCTGATTCCTCTAAACAGCACAGTCCTTACATCAAGACAGTAAGAGCTGCCACAGAAAAGGAGATCCTTCAACAAAGCTGCACGTAAGCAACACACACTTCCTTTAGAGTGCAAATATCAAAGACCTGCTTCCCCTGATTCAACAAAAAACAGCAACCCTCAGGCAGGGGAAAGGCTGGGGTTAGGGTGGGGTTTGCAGCCATTTTTATATAGCAGGGTGGAGTATTTCCATTGCCAAGGTGAGCCATCCAACCTGGGAGGCAGCCTCTGCCAGGGACACAGCCTCTGGGTGGCTCTGCCTTGAAGCAACCCCCGCCTGCCCCCAATTCTCCAGTCCCCAGTCGATTCTGTGGCTGGGACCTTACCTCTGTGGTCCGAAGGCCATTCTGTTTCTGGGTCAGAGGGCCTGAGCTGAGGTTCTGGGGATTTGGGCACTGGGTCCCACAGTTCGTCTTCTTCTCTGGGTTGGATATTCCACCTGGTGCTGTAGATCGGGGCACACCATTGGAGGACAGTCCATCTTCTAGCACACCTGGGGAAGGTAAGCGGAGAATGGCAACGCAGCTGGCACATGGCAATTGTTGCAAACAATCCCAAGATTGTGGAGAAAAAAGTAGTCAAAAAGAAAGAATGAAAGTTACCAGAAATCCCAACATGCATAGCTATACTTTTCTTTTAGAACATGTGTGCTTTTTCCAAAAGTTAGATTTTAAAATAATTTGTAACCTGAAATTTTCACTTAATGACACCTTGATGACATGTTCCCATGCCATTACATATTCTGCCATATTATTTTTCACACACATCTGCTGTGTATGGATATGTCACCATTTATGTAATCCCATCCAATCGGATACTTGTTTCCACCTTTTCATGATCAATGCTAGTATGATGAAACTCCTTGTGGTAAAGTTTTATTTTTAGTTACTTCCTGGGGATAAGTTTCTAGAAGTGGGATTACTAGCTTGAAGGTTATGCAGAGTTTTGCATTGTTCCACCTCAAAATGTGGGGCTGAACATGTGTGCCTCACAGAGCAAATGCCAAGAAATGACAGAAAGAGGTTCAGATAGCCTCACTGAAACACAAGGGCAGGACTACACTGAGGAATTAATGAAGGATGAAAGTATCTCATTGGAAGGAGAGAAGGTGGCCCAGGCAGCAGGAAGGGGAGGGCCAAGTGGGATGCAAGAAGCAGGCAGAGGCTCTGCTGTAGCCATAGGGAGGCCAGGGGCTGCCACATGGCTCATCCATTCTACCTTTCAACCACACAGCAATGATGGGGGAGTCTGTGAGGCGTGTGTCTCAGAGGCTGGAGACACCTGAGAGACAGAGGAAACCCAGGCCAAGAAGACTGGCTTTGTGAAAACAGTGCCAAGAGTCAGGACAATAGTCATCCTTGCCTCTGGGGCTTCTCAGATAGGTCCAGAGGACAATTAAGTAGGAAATTTCAGTTACGAAAATTAGCACAAAAACAAGAACAAGAAAACATTTGGGGAAGGACAACGCCATTAAAGAGAAACAACTAACTCCCTGTTAGAGACCCAAAGGAAATGGAGATAGTATGGTACACAGAAGAGAATTTTAGATAAGTGTAACCAGTCTGCTCAGGAAAGTGAAGGAAGATAATATAACCACAAAATGAGGACAAGAGTGACTCAAAACGGTTCAGAGATATTCAAAATAATAATCTTAACTATTGAGATGAGAGAGAGAAAAAAAATCCTCAATAGAGAAGCTAAATAGCAGGATAGATATCATTGAAGAACAATTTACTGAGCTAAAAGGGCAAGCTAAGGAATTTTCCTGGAAAGTAGCAGAAACAGTGAGTGAGTGTATAGAAAACAAATTAGAAAACATAGGATAGAAATCTAGAAATTAAACCTTGATCTAACAAGAGCTTTAGAAGGAAAGGCTAGAAAAGATGGAAGGGAAGCAATATTTGTAGAAATAATACAAAAGGATTTCTCAGAACTGAAGAAAGATGTGAAACCCTAACTCGACATAGCCTACCAAATACTTGGTAAGGTAATTATCCTAGTGAAATTTCAGAACATCAGTGACAACAAGAACAGCCCCAGAAGAGGAAAAAAATCAAGACTGAGACTGACAACTTTTCATCAGCAACCGATGAAAAAGAAGACTATGGAACAATGTCTTCTAGATTTCAAAGGATAGCATATTTTTCCATCTTTTACAAGATATTCCCAAATGCACCTCTATAAATCTTTCTCCTTATTGCCTTTCTGCCACCAGTATACAAAATGGCAATATTTCCTAAAACTCACAAATACTGAATATTCTTATTTGTCATCTCTGCCAATTTAGCAGGCAAAATAAAGTAGCTCATTGCTGGGATTTATGCTTTTTTATTTACTAGGAATATTATATTATTTATATGCCTGTTGGCTAATTGTGTAGGATTTTTTAAAAATTCATCATTTGTTTCTCTTTCCTTTGGGGTGTTTGCCTGGGTTTGCATTTAATCAAACTTAAGGAACATAAACAAAATCCTTTCCCTGGGTGTTGAGAAATGACTTGCCACGCGGCAGGCATCAGAAGCACAGTGCACTTGACCTCTTGGGGGCTGGAGGTGTGGTTGACCGAGCAGGGCTGATGACGCTGCAGCTCCCAGCTGGGGAGGCAGTGGTCCACGGGACACCGAGCCACACGTAGCCCATCTGCTCTGCCAGATGCTAAAGAGGCCCTCACTGTGACCGTGGGATAGAAATCAGAATTCAAAACACTAGAAGCCACAGGAGAAAATGCATGGTTCAGAGCTTCCTGACTTGCAGGCTTCAGCATATTGGGGTGCTGTGGATGGATTCTAGGTGAGATTCCTTCACAGCGGCTTGCCCCAAATCTCTGTGACCCCCTTCCTCTGCCAGCCACAGCCTGCTCCTTTCTCTTCCCATCCCCTTACCCTCCATCCTGCTCCAAAAGGGGCCTGAAACGCATGTGTATGGGCACCCCAGCATACACATCTCATCCTTGCCCCTGTCCTCCCTGCAAGCAGCGTGGGCCCAGGGCATTGCATGCCTGGAGAATGGTCAGGAGAAGAGGCCCATGAAGACCCTGGAAGCAGGCTTGGTGTGATTGGACTTGGTGGAATTTAGATTGCCTTCTAGGGTCCCAGCACCTACAGAAGAGTCTAGAACAGAGACACTCAATGTGGCCCAGGGACCAAATTGTTGTCACTGGTCTACTGTGGGGTAAGTATAAAAAACTGAGTGCAAGCATTTAGAAATTTCTATAGCAACTTGACATTGCCAGAACATCCAAGAGCAAACTTGTCTGATTGAACTTCTCTGATTACACAGGGTACAGACTACTTTGGGTGCTGTCAAGCTCATGTGGTGAGTCACAGGGGGTGTGAGCTGGGTATTAGTCACACACAGCAGGACCATGGATTTGCCTGTGATGGATTGGGGGTGGGAAAGCAACTATTCCTGAAGGAGGGCTGGGGCTTTTGTAGGTACGTCCCTTTGGCCCCAGGATAACTCAGGCCCTGTGGGGAAGGGTGGCCCTGACAGGGTAGGAGGGACAGGGGAGTTTAAAGCACAAGACTGAGGCAGAGACCCCACTTCCCTGAGCTAGGGTACAGCTGCTTCAGCCCTCGGGGCTACTGAGCATGATCCAAGGTTAGCCGGCGCTACCTCTGCCATCTGCCACAGTGTGCCACACAGATGCTGCCATTCCCTATGTGTGTCGTGACCCCGGCCTGGGTTGAAGGTGAGGGGAGGCCCCTGCTGAGCCATCCACTGAATGTCTGTTGGTGCTGCCAGCCTGCATGGTGGTCACCACCCCCTTGTTCCACCCTAGCCACCTTAAGGTGTACCTGACCCCAGTCCTCCCCACACCCACAGCCAGGTCCCTACAGGGGTCGAAGGACGGGAAACACAACTCCCTTCTCCCTCCTCCCAGGAGGAGGGCAGCATGGCAGGAAGGGGGGGCCCAGGCACAGGGTCTAGAGCGGGCAGCAGAGGACGCATCCAGGAAGGCAACAGCAAGTGGGGCCGAGCATGAGTCAGGGCTCCAAGCTCCAGCACATGCCCCATCGTCCACTGGATTTACTTACAAAACACAAAGTCAAAGATAAAATTATTAAGAATTTCAAGATTGTGCCTGCAGAGCATTAGATCCTGAGCACTGGGCCTGTGTGAGCCCCGCAGGCCCCGTGCAGCCCCACACCTGTGGACACACCCTGCCAAAGCCGAACACAGACCCAGGCAGAGCCCCTGCGGCCAGGTGCAAATGGCCAGCGCTTCCTTCTCAGTGGCCCTCCTTTCCCAGGCATCTTTGCTGAGCTTTGGGTCTCCTAGAAACACCATCTGAAAATCCACGATTTGGTCCAGAACTTTCACTTGTCATTGGTGGCTAAACAAAAATTGCATCTCTGGTTTCTTAACCCCCTACCCAGGGACTTCCTCATCTATGAAATGGGAATAATGATCTACCTTCACGGGGCTAAACAAGACCACATAGACGAAGGTTCCAATGGTGCCTGGCACGAGTTGTACTCATCATCAACGGCCCAGCACCTGCTGCCAAGTCCCCCTCTGTGCCCCTGTCCATTAGTCACGTTAGTTACATTGTTGACTCATGAGTCACACAATCAGCTGAGTGCTAAACCACTGGTCCACCAAGTCTGATAAATTAGCTAAGCTCTGACGACAAGCAGGGCCAGCTTGGGGACTAGCATTGCCAAATAGTGGGCAGGGGTCACCTGCCCAGGGTGGTCAAGAGGTCACCCCAGGGGTCAGGAATATGGGGTCATTTACTATTACTTTTGCTTGCAACAAACCAGGTGCTTTTGCTGCACAGGTTTAATGAAACTTGTAGTTTCTAGTTCCAAAAAAGTAGACTCAATCTTAGAAAACTTTTAAAATATGGAAAAGCACAAAGGAAAAATAATTTTTACCTCATCACCTAGAGGTATGCTCTGTGTGGGAGATCAGCATATGCCACCCCAAAATGTGTCACTTGGGTGTAAGGATTATTTTGAGCTGAAGGCAACAGAGATGAAGCAGATACAACAAAGTTCTCTGCCTGCACACTCCCCCGCATTTGCCTAAAAGTAGGACACAAATTTACTTTTCCCTGGTGGCTACACAAGAGGCTAGGGCTCCTCCCTCTCTACCAGGGAAGACAAAAGCTATTATTCACCAAAGACAACTTTAGACCCTTATCTCCCGGAGGGGCACCAGCGGAATGCGCATTGACAGCTTTACTCACCAGGCTGTATCTATTCATACTACATATCTGCCTTCCCGCAGTTTGCCTCCCCTGGACACTCCAAGTCTTTTTCCTTCCTCTTATCAGTTCTCTAAAGATTCACTGTTGTTTGTTGAAGATGCTACATAAGCTGGAATTCTAAGCCACTTCTTTGAGATTTACTCCTTTGCTAGATATCTCCCATGTATCTGTGAAATATACATGTAAATAAACTTGTTTATTTTTCTCTTATTAATCTGTCTTTTGTTACAGGGTCCTTCTCAGCTAAGAACTAAAAGTAGAAGGGAAATTATTTTTTT